CTAAAGTTTTATTTTCAGGGAGAACATTGTAAAAAAGGACATTCTAAATTTTCACAATCCTAGGGCGCAATTTATATATGTATCATTTTTCAAATGTATATACTGACGTATCAACCTATTAGTGTAGAAGTGTGTACTTGTGATATTCATTAATTATGTCTCACCTTCTCTTTTTAATTGACAATGAACATATTTTCATTTTTTTGAATTTGATATACTCCCTCTGCTTCAAAATAAGTGTCTCAATTGTAACAACATTTATATACTAAAATGGTTCATGTTGGAGAGAGGTGTTTTGGAGGCCGAGCTCCATGGAGGTCTTTATTTTTTAAAATTTCAAATTCAAATTTTATTGTTCAAAAAATTCTGAAAAAAAATATGAGTGCATGTAAGGATGTAACACACATGTGTGTAAAAATTCATGATGAAATACCTTGAGTTGCGACCTATACAAAAAAGACAAATTCATGGCTTGGGAGAATGAATAGTATCATGTGTTAAATAGCACCAGATTTGTATTTTTTGCACGGCCCTCATTTCAATGTATTTTGAACTGAAAATTTACACACATGTGTGTTATGCCTCCTTGTATATCTATATTTTTTTCAGAATTTTTTGAAATGTAAAAATATGAATTTTGATGAAATTTCAAATTTGAATTTGGAGGCCTGATTGGAGGCCGAGCTCCAAAAAGGATTTCCATTCATGGTGGCTCTTTATTTGATAGACATTTGACTGAGTTAACTTAAACACGTACTACACCAGAAGTAGTACCAGCGTTGGCTCATCTTTTCACCTAAGCAAAGTTCCATGTAACTATCCAAACTATCAATACGTACAATGTGTACACGTCCAAAAAACGTAGTGTGGCTACAAGTACCACCAACATGAGCCTTCATTTTCTCCTTTCTCGAGTCTTCTTGTCCTCTCCCTGTCCCAAAAAAGAAAGTCTTGTCTTCTCCGGAGCTCCCACTCCCAGCCATGGAAAAGGATGAGCCAGCCTGGATCTACCGCATATGTGAGGATCACCTCGAAGCTCCCCTCGGTCTCCTCTCCTACTCGTGGTCCTCAGTCACACACCTCTTGGCTGGGACTACACATAGTTTGCCTGCGCGCGTGCCGCGTCGATCTCCCGGGCAACGGGTATTGGGGCCCTGATATCAGTTGCGTGAGGGAGGATGCGAGCTCGTCGTACTCGACGGCGCAGTTGGCACCGGCTTCAATTGAGGCGTTGAAGGAGTTTTTTTTTTTTTGAAAAGGGGGGAAAACCCCGGCCTCTGCATCAGTACGATGCATACGGCCCTCTTATTAACAAAATAAAGTAGTGCCAACATGGTTTCAAAGGTCTTCAAACGCCATAAAAAGCAGAAAAAGCTCACACAGAGCCAAAAGAGGCTAGAAACATCAACTAGCCAAATCAAGATGCCCTTAGCTCCTGCAGATTGTGGTTGTCGGGATCCTGGGGTTGTTATCCGTCCCCGAGCGCCGGGCCGGAGGCATCGTAGCTGTCCCCAAGCGGGCACGCCGACGCATCGTCTTAATTTTCGACAGTCGCAACCCGGCTTCAGTGTCGCATTCTTTCACCTGCAGGTTCCCCCTCTTCCCTTTTCTTTTTTCTGTCTTTGTAGTGACAAATGGTATACTGGCTGCTATTGAAATGAGATAGTAGTAAGTCTGGATGCCAACGCAGCTTAAGCCAAATTGTTAATTAGTTTTTGACCCCTCAACAAATTAAAGAAGTAATTAGTGTATTTGTGATTATCTATCTCTTCTCTCCCTAATATTAAAGGACGGGTCGTTTCTTCACTTTTATTTGTCCATCAAGCTGTTTTTCATACGTCCTCTTTTTTTTCGTCCGTCGTTTTTACGTTGGAGAAAAAAAATTGCGCTCATCATAGTCACCTGCAGGTTCCCCCTCTTCCCTTTTCTTTTTTCTGTCTTTGTAGTGACAAATGGTATACTGGCTGCTATTGAAATGAGATAGTAGCAAGTCTGGATGCCAACGCAGCTTAAGCCAAATTGTTAATTAGTTTTTGACCCCTCAACAAATTAAAGAAGTAATTAGTGTATTTGTGATTATCTATCTCTTCTCTCCCTAATATTAAAGGACGGGTCGTTTCCTCACTTTTATTTGTCCATCAAGCTGTTTTTCATACGTCCTCTTTTTTTTCGTCCGTCGTTTTTACGTTGGAGAAAAAAAATTGCGCTCATCATAGGACTCGAACCATGGCCGTGCAGTTTGAGTACGCTCGCAAAACCAGCTCCACTAGCTAGCCTGCTGAGCGAGAAACAAAAGGAACACTATCTTTTATATAGATTATAAACGAGTTTTGTCAAAAAAAAACTAAGAGGAGCCTGACCAATCCTACTAGCTACAGGAATCTGGATCCAAGTCTGATCCTATTTATAAATACACATGTACAGCACCCTTAATGTATCTCAGGTCTTCGGTCAAATAAGGTGCTTAGCAACTCAGCTTTGCACGTCGCCACGTCGATATCGCCACTTAGAAACCAAAAGCAACGAGCCATCAACACGTCGCCTCGCCGGCATCAGCGCTGACAGCAAAGACAACGAGCCATCAGGTGTGTTCATCATTGTCTCCTTTCATAGGACTTCCTTATTATTATAAAATGTGCTACCTGCCATGTATAAACGAAAAATTTGTCATCACCAATTCAAAGTTGCAGGAATTAACTCTAATTTGGTTGTAACTAATCCTAACATGATGGAATTTATGCAGCCATACACTTCATGGTTCTTTTTCCAGCAGATAACACAGCCCAAAGCATCTTATTCTAGATAGGGACTGCTACGTACACTAAGCAAGCGAACAAATTACCTTCCTGGGATCTTTAAATAAGCAAAGAGGAAGGTGAGTAATCATCTCTTAGTAAGCAAACTCAATTACTTGAATTTTTCAATGACCTGCAGCTGAACACGCTGAATGTAGTACAAAGCTGAACATGCATGTACAGCGCCTTGGATGACTGCTTCTTCGTTTTCTTTTGCTCCTGCTTATGCTCTTCTCTCTACTGCTTGTTCTCCTTCTTGTACAACCCTAATCTATAATGCAAAGGCAGAGGACCTGCCATTTACACCTAAAAAAGAATAAAAACGTTAGAATAACAATTTTATTGATATCATCCAGTTATGAAACTACCATATACAAACTTTGATGCAGGCAAGCCATGGATGCGAATGAACAAAGAAGAAAAAGAGATAGAGAGCGGTATGCACGGATGAGCAATGAAGAAAGGGAAGAAAAACTGAAAAAACGCCGTGAAGCCTATCAACAAAACAAAACAAACAAAGATTCAAGAAAGGAGCGAGATCAAAAGGCAAAACAAATGCAGGAATATGCAAATACACAGCCAGAACAAAAAGAAGTTGGAACAGAGAAAATTGCAGCTAACTGTGAACTGGAGCGTGGTATACCATCCAAAGATACAATTGAGCCAGAACAAAAGCAAGTTGGAATAGAACAAATTGCAGGTAACTGTGAACTGGAGCACAGTACACCAAACAAAGATTCAATTGCCATGGAGAAGCCTGCATATATCACGACTGAACAGGAAGTTAGTGTAAATCAAAGAAAACATGCCATGTCAGGAGAAAAACAGAAAAGAGATAGAGAGCGCTATGCAGCGATGACCAGTGAAGAAAGGGAAGAAAAACTGAGTAAACGTCGAGAAGCCTATCAAAAAAACAAAAAAATAAAGATTCAAGGAAGAAGACAGATCAAAAGGCAAAAAAAGGCAGGAATATGCAAATATGCAACCGGAACAAAAGAAAGCTAGGATAGAAAAAATTAAAGCTAATCGTGAATTGAAGCGCAACATGCCAAGTAAAGATTCAATTGCGATGGAGAACCCTGCATATATTGCAACCGAGCAGGAAGTTAGTACATCTCCCTGTACTGTAAAACATGGAAAGCATGTGACAGCGGGTGAAAGACAAACGCTGCTACACCGTCATAACGAAGAATTCGCAGCAAGACAGATGAAATCATCACAAGAAGATAGATCCATGTCGGAAAATGACAACGATGACAACGAACCTCCCGAACAACCAGAAGTCACGATTAATGGTAAAAATCTAAAATTTATACAATACTCTCGCATTCCAAAAATATATGAAACCGCATATGTAACTAACCATCTTTTGTGGACAGACATCCCCCTCTCTATAATGTTTCCATCCATTAAAGAAGCGGATGCCCAAACACAAACAGCCTACAACGACGATCACAGTAAGGTGGCTTTTTGGCCAGGCATCCCCACTTCAATGTGTCCAACAATCAAAGAAGTAAATGCACGAATACAATCATTCTACAATAATGGTCACGGTAAGGTTATCAATTTCATATTTACTTTTATGCAATACAAAAATTATATATTAAAAAATTACTAAACAGGTGTGACTATGAAGGCATATGTGAGCAAGACAAAACCATCAAAGAAGTAGATGCACCAAAACAATCAATCTACAACGATGATCACGGTAAGGTTATCAATTTCAAATATGTTCTTATGCAATACAAAGAAATATATAAACAATAAAATTTTACAACACAGATAATGATAGTCATATTTGAAGAAGACACAAACGAGGATGAATACATGTTCTTTGGTGAAGGTATGCTCAATACAGTTTTAAGTATATTTGCATCATTATATTACCCTGTACTAATTTCTGATTGCTACAAATCAAAGCAGAATGGGATGGAAAAGTGGAAATTGAAACCAGAGAAGACGAGGAATTTCACAACCCTGATCCGTATGATATCGTCTACAGCAACATACCAAAGAACACACACATGTTCAGAACGGAAAAAAATTGCAAGTTCTGTAATGCAACGAAATTGAAGTATGAATCTAAGGGGTTATGTTGCAGAAAAGGGAAGATAAGACTAGCCAATCCAGATACAGCACCTGAACTTATGAGACTTTGGACAAGCAACGACTCTGATGCAAGACATTTTCGGAACAATATAAGATTTTTCAATGGACACTTCTCATTCACTACTCTATACTGCTAGCTTGACAGAGAGACAACCAACATTCGAACAACTGGTATTTACACCTTCCGAGCTCATGGTCAGATCTATCACAACATACACTCATTTGGTAATAGTCGCTCCGATCCAAAGCATCTGGAGTTGTACTTCTACAATGATGATCCAAGCTTAGAGCATCGGTACCGCCGCTGCCGCGAGGAAATGTATGAGCAAGACAGGCAGGTGATTGGAATCATAACTGACATTCTACGCGATAACCCATACTCTCAACAGTTCAGGAGTTTGGGACAAGCCCAAAACCTCGAGGATTACAGACTTATCTTGAACGTTGACCAAAGATTGGACCAGAGAACATACAACGCACCAATCAATTCGAAGGTAGCTGCAGTGTGGATTGAAGGAAATCAAAGAAGAGATACTTATGACAGGAATGTAATACTTCATGGGAACAACAACGAAATAGAGCACATTAGATCATATTACGGGTGCTACGACCCGTTATCATATCCTCTATTCTTTCCAAGAGCTGAACTCGGTTGGCATAGGAAAATCCCAAAGAAGGATACACAAGAGGAAGATGTTGATGATGAAAATATCAGTAATGACGATGACCCAGGTAATTGTATTCAAAATTAAATTTTCAGGGCTAAGCTAGAAGAAATGAAGCAGCAACTATTTGAGAAGGCCATTCTTGGAAAGGTTAAGGCATATACATATGTCCTAGAGTTCCAAAAGAGGGGATTACCCCATGCTAACCTTTTGCTCATCATGACCGGAAAATACAAATACACGTGTCCGGAACAGTATGACAGAATCATCTCCGCTGAGCTCCCTAACAAGCACAAGTACCCAGAACTATACAAAATGGTAGTCAAACATATGATGCATGGTCCTTGCGGTGCATTGAATAAATTTTGTCCATGCACAAAGAATCGTCAGTCATGCAAGAACAATTAACCAAGGCCATTTAACGAAACTATGATTCAAGGCAAGGACTCCTACCCACTATATAGGAGACGCAATGACGGTCGTACTGAAATGGTCCGAGGTTGCAAACTAGATAATAGGTGGGTGGTTCCTTACAACCCCTACCTGCTAAGGATGTTCAACTGCCACATAAATGTTGAGATATGCTCAAGCATTAAAGCCGTTAAGTACCTCTTCAAGTACATCTACAAGGGTCATGACCGGGCATCTGTATCTGTAACTGACAAAGTAGATGAAGTCGAAGTCGGCGAGATTAAACAGTACAGAGACGCACGGTGGGTGACACCTCCGGAAGCACTATGGAGAATATATGGCTTCGAACTAAGCAAAATGCACCCACCAGTCTTGCAACTGCAGCTACATCTCCCAAATATGCACATGGTTTCATACCATGGCATGGAAAAATAAAGAATATTATCGACCGTGATGGCACGGAAAGATCAATGTTGACTGCGTACTTTGAAGCAAACAACTTACATGAGAAAGCACGAGGCATACTATACAGAGACTTTCCGGAATATTATACTTGGCAAAGACGAGGGAAGTTTTGGCAAGAGAGGAAACGAGCCGCTGTGATCCAGATAGGCAGGATCGTCTCAGCACACCCAGCTGAAGGAGAACGATACTATCTTCGAGTTCTCCTAAATCATGTGACAGGCGCCACCAGCTACGAAGACCTACGAACAGTCGATGGACAAGTAATGCCAACCTTCCGTGAAGCCGCAGAAAGACGGGGGCTCATTGAGGCAGACAACACACTAGATGACTGCATGACAGAAGCAGAGTTATTTCGAATGCCATCATCGCTACGAAGGCTATTCGCGACAATCTTGGTTTTTTGTGAGCCTAGCGACGTACGTGGCCTCTGGAACAAACACCTTGAGGCAATGTCAGAAGACTACAACAGAAACTGCAAATGCAAGCACACGATCGAACAGATGGTTCTGAAAAATATTAGGGACATGTTGCACTCAATGGGAAAAGACATTGAATCGTTTCCTCTTCCAGAGATCGACAAACAACATGAGATGACAGACGACATACCTAGGGAGATCATTGAGGAGACCTCCATCGAGGTGGACCCTGAGGACGTATCGTTGCATGAAAACCTAAACAACGAGCAGAGGAAGGCCTACGACAAAATCTTAGCCACAGTTGACCACCAAAGAGGAGGTATATTCTTTGTCGATGGGCCGGGAGGCACAGGAAAAACTTTTCTTTATAGGGCGCTCTTGGCCACAATACGCGGACAAGGCAAGATTGTTGTGGCGACAGCCACTTCCAGTGTTGCTGCTTCCATAATGCCTGGAGGGAGGACCGCACACTCGAGGTTCAAGATTCCACTAAAAATAGATGATGGAGCTATTTGTAGCTTTACAAAACAGAGTGGGACAGCAAAGCTACTCCAAGCAGCATCACTAATAATCTGGGATGAAGCATCTATGACCAAGAGGCAAACAGTGGAGGCGTTAGACAAAATCATGCGGGACATAATGGATAGACCAGATCTTCCATTTGGTGGAAAAACAATCGTATTTGGGGGAGATTTTAGACAAGTGCTCCCTGTTGTCCGAAAAGGAACAAGAGCTCAGATAGTAGATGCATCACTACGCAGGTCGGAGCTTTGGAGTTGCATGTGTCAACTGAAGCTTGTGCGCAACATGAGGGCTCAAAACGACCCATGGTTCGCAGAATACCTACTACGCATTGGAAACGGAACCGAGGAGACAAATGATGATAGTGAAATACTTGTACCTACAAGTATATGTGTGTCAAATAAGACAGATGATAATGGCCGGGATAGACTCATTGACAGTATCTATCAAACGGGAAATGCTTCCCTAAAAGATCCAAAGTACATCACGTCAAGAGCAATTTTATCCACAAGGAACGATTGTGTAGACAAGATCAACCTAAAAATGATTGATCGCTTCCAGGGGGAGGAGATGGTGTACCACAGCTTTGATTCTGTAGAAGACGACCCACATAACTACTATCCACCAGAATCCCTAAACACCCTAACCCCAAATGGACTACCTCCACATATGCTGAAGCTCAAAATAAATTGTCCAATCATACTACTTAGGAACATCGACCCTGCCAATGGACTTTGCAACGGCACGAGATTGGTCGTACGTGGATTTCAAAAAAAATACAATTGATGCAGAGATTGTTGTGGGACAGCACTCCGGAATGCGAGTTTTCCTGCCTCGGATACCATTATGCCCCTCTGACGATGACATGTTCCCGTTCAGTTTCAAGAGAAAACAATTTCCAGTCAGGCTCAATTTTGCAATGACAATAAATAAATCACAAGGTCAGACAATACCAAATGTTGGTATCTACCTGCCTGAACCGGTTTTCTCACATGGTCAACTATATGTCGCGCTTTCTAGAGCAACCGTGACATCAAATATAAAAGTACTAACAGGTACGCATGATGTGAACAAGCAGAAGAATAAAGATATCAGTACAGGCGACACATACACAAATGGGAAGAAGAAAAATAAGAATAAGAAGATCAGTACAAGTGGAACATGTACGAAAAATATTGTTTACACGGAAGTCCTAACCAAATAGGTATGCAACCTTTCAATTTCTTGTTCAAAATTTCAGTTTCTACTTGATAAGATCATTGTTTAAGAAAAACTCAAGTATTTATATTTCACATTGCATTGCTTATTTTCTAACCTTAAATTTATTGCTTGTGTTCTACAGAAACATTGCAGCCAAGTGATAACTTCCAAGCTAGAATTCAGAACTTGATTATCTTGAAGGAGACTACCTCATTTGTGTATATACAAATCATTCATGGTATAATTCTCATGTATAATGTCATGAACCACTAAATCATTCATGGTTATTTTTATTATGTCAACTAACCCATTCATGATTCTGCTACAAAAGTAATTTTATGTGTATATACAAATTTAGCACCAAAATGTGTAACTAAGGGCAGAAAGAGACTTACAAGTCAAAATAAGAACATATTTCTCACCTTAGAACGGTTGCTGCTGCCCTGATTTCGCCAAACATCACATTCTCTACCTCCCCCAAAACCTGAAATATATATGACCAATTTTGTAAAAATGCATATAATTTCATAGCAAAAGATAAACAAACCAACCAGAAAACTATATGTATGCACATTTTAGAAAGGAAGAGGGAGCCTCGCAAGATTCCATTGATGCGGCGGCAGGGGCGGCGGACTCGGCGGAGCGGCCGTAGGTAGCTCTATTATTACTCACCTTCTGCTCTGAGAACGACAAAGCGACACAACACGGCAGCGACGTATAATACATATCAATTTCACTACTATAGATTAACAAAACAAGTAGACAAGCAGATGAATGGTCTTCGATCAGAATGCTAATGGCCATACGTCGATTAGCTAGGCTGCTGTAAC